TGAATTCAGATTGAACTTTGTAAAGGGACAATTGGATAGACGCAGGGGTATCTTGCAGAAAATTTATAGCATTATGATATTACGAAGCCCCATCAGGAAATATGTCAGTATGGACCGACAAACAAAAAAGGGTACATTTTTATAGATACATAAGCAGTTTGGCATTTCTAACAAGTACCAGTCAAATAAGAAGGCTTGCAATACTGAATGCTTTGCAAATTGCCTTCTTTATTTATTTATTTTATTTTATTATTTTATTTTATTTTTTGGTCTTTTTGAGACAGGGTCTCTCTGTAGCCCCAGCTGTCCTGGAACTCACTATGTAGACCAGGCTAGCCTTGAACTCACAGAGCTCCGCCTGCCTCTGCCTCCCAAGTGCTGGGATTAAAGGAGTGCGCCACCACTCCTGGCTTTGCAGTCTGCCTTTTTTAAACCTGTTTGTTAGGTACCAAGTTTTAGAATGACTAAGAACAGTAAACAGAGGAAGGTGTTAGCTTATTCAAAAGTTAGATGAACAAAAAATGGGCCACAGCAGCAATTTGTAAAATAAGTAAAAGGAGTTTCTTTCCTAGTTTTTTATTTTCAACTTTATTCAGTACTTACTGTTAAAAAGTAGGTGTTGATTATATCAATACTCTTGAGGCTTGAGAGATTGTTCAGCAATTAAGAGGAATAGCTGTTCTTGTAGAAGACTGGAGATCAGATCCCAGCACCCACACTGGGCAGCTCACAACTCTCTGTAGCTCTAGTTGAATGGGATTCAACACCCTCCTTTGGCCTCTTTGGGTAAATACACATGTGACATACACACATAGATGCGTACACATGGATTATAAAGTTAAAGTGTGTGGAGATATATATGGGGGGGGTCTGTGTGTCTGTGTGTCATGACTTTACAATGTTTCCAAAAGATGGCTAATGAACTATTTCATCATTTCAGAATAAACAGTATGCTGAAAGCCGGGGATTCAAGTACAGGGGCATCACCTGCCACACATCGTCCTTTGCTGTTCTAAGAAATGTGGAGGATACGGGAAAGATGAAAGTGAGTTCTCAACCTTTATGTTTTTCAACAAAATCTGTTGAAGCAGCAGACCAGCTGTGCTATGTCATTGGTCACCACATGCTGTACATTAATAATAGGTGCAGTAATTACTCATGCAGATATTTGGAGTAGAAATGACAAACTCAAGACCATTCTGTGACATAACTGATAAATTATAAAGGCAAATGACAAGTAATATCGTAGCAGATCTATAAATGTTCCATGTAGACAACCTGTTCACAAATGCCCTGTGCCTGTTATTTTATTCTCCAGGAAGGGTCAATCTGACTTTGATATTCAAGGTTAAATATACATTAATGTACATGTGTTTGACATGCTAATATGACATATTACTAATGATCCCTGTGATGGGAGTTCTTTACATTACTGACCACTGCGCCATCTATCCTTGACTTCCTCTCCCTTCTTTACTATGTGGTCATTCCTCCCAGAATCTCTGTCGTCATCTAGGTGATACTGAGAGTCCCCTAAAGAGAGTCCTAGACAATGCACTATGATCTTCCAGAGAACAAAGCTATGCCCGCTGTGTGATGACGATCTTCACAGCCAGCATTAATTTATTTATGTTATTCTCACCCATATCCAATTACATACTATAAATCTTTTCAAGACTATTTTACCTGAACATAATCATATATCCCCACATTCCCCACATACACTATTGTCTCCATGTTTTGCTCATAGCCCCAGGATGCTGCATGCCTGCATTCTTACCTTTAATAATTGGGATAAAACCAAATGGAATGAACCACACATCAGCAAACCAGGAGCTGGAAGACTCTTGAGAGTTAATGCTTTGTGAGGAGCTTCATAGAGCACTCTGCCCAGACTTCTGAATTTAATCTTCACTAACATTCTATAACACAAGGTGAATGTCTACATTTTTACTTCTATGACTTGTATGTTCCATAAAAGAATGTTTTGCTGATTCTTCCTCCCTCAGCATCCATTGATTACCTGTAGCTCTTCATCTGGAGATGGGACACCATGAATTTTCCCCCAAGCACCCTGGCATTTCAACTGGCTTTGTCATTATGCAGATCTATTAGATTACCGTTCTTTGGAGACGTCACGAATGTGGCTTCCCCCTCCTGTCTAAAAGGCATCATCTAGCAGCAGGTGTCTTGTTTTCCCAGCTCTTACAAACTTCCTTCCCCTCTTCCATAATATTCCTGAGAATTAGGTATAGAGGTTGCATTATAGATGTGTCACTTGGGTCTGGGCACCTCACAGGCACTTATATTCTGCATTTGGCCTGGCTGTTGTACTCTGTAATAGTCCCCATCTGTTGAAGATGAAGCTTCTGTGATGAGTAGTGAGTACTCCTGTTGTCTGTGAATATAAGAATATGTGTTTAGAATATAGTAAGAACGTGTGCTGGTCTAGCGATGTGACAGCCTTAGGGGTAAGATCTACGAAATCCAGTAGAGGGGCTATGAGGGGTGTGGATGGGGCAAGGGAGTACAAAGGTAATTAAGAGGTTTTGCATGAAGCACACAAAAATTCATTTAAAATATATATTATAAAACACTTTATTATACTGATAGAGGTAATTTGCTGAGCTGATCATAGGTCTGTTGTAGTTCATAGGCCTTACAGTACGTAGGGACACATGACACGTTTTCTCCCTTGGCAGCTTGAGATCCCAGAGAGGGTTTCCAGTCTCCAGTGGGAAACACTAAACACATGTACATTTGAGTACCACTGAGGGAACTCGTGTGTGTGTGTGTGTGTGTGAATCTATACGTGTTTATGTAACAATAGTAATCAAAGAAGAGGACACAGCAAATTGTGACAGAGTAGGGGACTGGGGAGGAGCTGCAGGCCACCAAGGAAATAATGCAACACAATATTCACGCCTAAAGTTCACTGAAAATTTTTAAATTATTTTAAAAATTAAAAAAGAGTTTTTAAAATGCATATTAGAGCAATAAAGGGAAATTTTATTTCAGGTAATTTGAGTAAAAACTGCCTGTATCTAAACCTATTTTATTTCACCCATTTTAATGTGATTGTTCACTTATGCTTGCTTAGCCTATGGCCCTCCTGAAAATGGTATACAACCTACTGGGCTCCTGGACCATTCCTCTGCAGCATCTAGCCAAAGAAGTGGGCAGCCTACAAGGAGCCCCTGCTGCTCTGCTCTCTAAAGCCCAAGAGATTGAAAAACCACACAAAGGACTCCTGGAGGGCGTGAGGAAGTTAATCAGAAGGGTAAGCCCTTCCCATCACTTCTGTGCTTCTCACACGCATGAAGGAGGTGACCTGGGTAATGAGAAAGGAATCTTTAAATGCTACACTTTGTAAGAAAAGTTTTGACCATCCAATTGTGACAGTAACCTCAGTGTTAAGGTCGTCAACTCCGCGCCCTAAGTGCTTTGCTCAGAACCCCACATCCTGGGATCTCAGGACAAAGCATCTCCCTCTCACACTGTTTTAGACAGGACCTTTCTGGTGCAGAAAGTCAGGTCCCTAAGTAGCTCAGCTATCACAGTCAATGCCTTTCTATTCCGTCTTAAACCAGCAAGTCTAATCACCATCAGTCTGAGGTTTGGGGCACACCCTTATGTGCAGAAGGGATCTGGTAGAAAGTAAGAAAGGGCGATGCTGTAACGTCTGACTTTATAAGTACAAGGACAAGTCCAGGACATTACAGAGGACACGTAAAGTTCCTTAAGTGCCAGATTTGACACTAGCTCTTCCATGTTCCTCTGTTGAATCATTGTCTATCAAGAGTGACAATGATTCCCCAATTGTCATCTCCTGTAAGGGCATTCTTTGCCTGGGATCAGTTACTTGTCCAAAAATATTTACATGTATCTAACTAAACGTTTTACATTTTTAACACCTCGGAGGCACCCTGGCCTAGATTCATGAAATTCCATGGGTTTAGCACAGGTTTCACAATCCTACCTTTTCTCAAATCTGAAATAGATATTTGGAATGGATAAGGACAAAGGAATACTAACATGTAATTGTAAACTATTATTTTGTGATTTTGTTCAGTCTGGAGATACAGAAAATGTGAAATACCTTACCTGGTCTGGACTGACATGCTTGCAGTCAACATATGAAGAAACTCTCCTGTTTGGATTTTATAAACTATTCTACTGCCTACACGAGGATTCGGTTAAAGTCTCCACTAATCTGAAGCTCCTGGAGGACAAAATGGTTACCTACAATTGCTAAGGGAGCATCTCTCCCTTGTGCTTCCAAGATGCTCCTTGATGAAATCAGGCAGCAGAGCGTCTTCTGTGCTTTTATCTTGTGAATGCATCCTTCACTCTAGTTTGTATCTTCTTTTAAAAAATAAAAACTGATGCTTTAAGTATTTATTTCCTTATCTTGTTATTGTGTGTTTATGTGTGTATGGTAGGACAACTTTATGGAACTGATTCTCTCCTTTCGTCTTTAAGCAGGTTCTGGGGATCAAATTCATGTAGTCATGCCCTCACAGCAAGTTGCTTTTACTTAGTAAGCCAGTCCACTGGCCCTAAGCTGGCTCCTTAAAATGTTGACATCTAGAAAAACAACTAGACCAAATTACTAGCTTTTATTTCATAGAAAATCTGCCAATTCCATTAGCATGTACCTTTCCTAAATGCCAAAAATAATGGAAGACAGACTGGCTTAACTTACTTTAGTGTCAAGCATGTACAATCAAAAAATGACATTATTGTAAATCACTTCATTCATATTCTTCCAAATAAGGATATCTCAAACTATCACCCATATTCCTCGAAATAAGGATATCTCAAACTATCACCCATATTCCTCAAAATAAGGGTATCTCAAACTGTATTATGGAACCCAGCCACTCTCGATGAGCCAAGTTTTCAGTGTTACGACAGACATTGCAAATACAACTGTACTATCCCTAAATACTGTGAAATTTGGAATAGTCTAAAATGCAGCAGGTTACACACAGGGATATCTAGATTTCTCTCAACTGTCTTGACCCAGACCCCTCTGAGTGCTTTTTGACATCATCATAGACAGAGGACTTATGGTTCTTTCTGTCTAGATTAACAAGGATGCTCTGGAATAACTTCATCTCATGTTCTAATTATTCAGAATCTATATTTTCCCTCATCCTCTGGGGGCTGAAGTCCAGGAAGGAGGAAATGAGAAGTTGCTATGGCATTTCTTCCCCTTTCTTCTGCTGGAGTTCCATTCCTCGGGCTATCAGTTCTGAATTCACTGATTGTACCATGCTATTAGATTCATTCTAGACTAGAAGTCAAAATGAATTCCCTCTAAGTGACAACTCACCCCACCTGTGTGTATACCTCAAAGTATAGCATATGTACCAGGAGAATTTCCCTGGCTCCATCCCCCCATCCACGCCACTGCTGCCATTGGTGGCTTATTTGTAGCCTCTGCTCTTGCACCCTCACTATCAAAAAAATTAGCTCAAAGTATGGTTTCTTCCAACTGATAACAGAGGAACCTCAAACCCAATGACCACACCACTTCAGGAACTCCGGACCACTCTGACCCTTTCCTGAGTCCTAACCCCATTTTCTTTTGTTCATCTGGATAAAGAAGGGATCAAATGGTCAAAAGCAGGCAACTGGAAAGACAGCTCCGTGGGTGATCGTGCATACCATAGAAGACATGAATTTGAATCTCCAGATCTTTCATAGCAAGCTGAGCATGGCTGTGCAAACCTGTAACGCTGCATTAAGAAGCAATAAGCAGATACAGAAAGCTTGTATGCTAACAAGTGAGGATCACCAGATTGGCAAGCTCTTCAGTGAGAGACCCTGTCTTCGGAGAAGACACCTAGCTTCTTCCTATCAGTTCTGTATGGCACACAGGGACTGTGTACCTGCATAGTCATGTTCATGCAACACACACACACACACACACACACACACACACACTCACACATAAACTAAAATAAGAAAGTCAATTGCCAGATTGATGGGCTCACACTGACCTGAGGAATGGCATACAGTGTTAACCATCACTGAACCCCAGGAGTAACGTCCTGCACCAGCAATCATCTTAGAGAAAACCAAGAAGCATGTCTTCATTCAGTTTAGAGACAGGTGATTGGTTGTGAGCAGCTCAGCTTGTCACCTGTCTCTAAACAACCTAGCATGCGGCTTTATGTTACTTTCAAACCTCCTCAAAAGGTATTTGAATAGTCATACAGACTTTACAAATATATGAATTTTCAGAAATTATTACACAAAGAGAGATATCACAATAAAAATAATCATAGGCATGGTACTGTTTCGTTTTGTTAATGTGTCACAAAATACACACACTTGGGAAGTCAGAATTTCATTGTTTTCACCTGTGGCCATGTCTTTGCTGTAGTTCCCTAATCAGTAATTGACACAGGAAGGCCCAGCCCACTGTGAGAGGTGCCATACCTGGGTGGCTGGGCCAGGTCTTTGTAAGTGTGGGCAAGCCAAGGGAAGCAAGCCAGTAAGCAGCATTTCTCCTGGGTCCCGGCCTCAGCATCTGCCTCCAGGCTCTTGCATCAAGTATCTTCCTGGAATTCATCCCTCAATGATGGACTGTGGTGTGGAACATTTTCCTCCACAGGATGCTTGTGGTCCGAGTCTTTTATCACAGGAGCAATAACTAGAACACACATGAAACAAAAACATACAACATATGTGTGGCTGAAGGAAAGTTAACAAGAAATGAATCACGTAAAAGAGTATGACAGGTGAGATGCTCTTCAAATACTAAGGTTGGTGGGACCTAAGCACACCTTAAGTGTTGGACACAATTGTTAAATGTTGCCCTGTGAAATCTTTTCACAGTCCTTCACTCTTTACGTTTCCTTTCTTGATACTTTTTCTTGTATTAGAAACACTCCTTGCTTTACTCTCATTGCTATTGGTCCATAAATGGACAGAACCTGGCTGTTCTGCAGGTCAGAATTCAAACAAAAAACTTACTACATACATAACAGTCCACATACTCATAGGAACAGCTCCTTCTAAGTACTAAGATTGCAGATCTGTGTCACCATGGTCAGCTTACGCGGTGCAGGTTATTGAATACAGGGCAAGCACTGCATCAACTGAGCTACATCCCGAGCCCTACAAAGTCAGCCTAAACATGTTCACAGAAAATGAAAGTTATAAAGTACATGAAACAACAGTTTATAGTCCTGAAAGAACTAATATACATAACTATAATCGTTGTCTGGATGTGAAATTTTATCTTGGAGAAAATGATTCCAAGAGTAGACTATGGTAAGGAAGCAATGCTACAGAAGGATTGAACCAAATTACAAATTCATACTAAATAGCAAACACATCTTGTCACAAAGCCTATAATAATCACCTGCAAAAACAATAGAGTCACCCATAAGATGTTATATTGTAATCACATAAACTCTGCTTTCTGGCTACAATGGAAAGAAAACAAACTAAAGACAAGAATGATCTCTAAGTTTGTGTAGATTAAAACAATTCTAAAAGATCTGTGGTAACAAAGTTTCAAAAGAATCAAAATGGTACATCCTGAGTAAAAAATAAAATGTCTCAGCAACATACTACATAGGAGGCAGTCAAAGCAGCACTGAAAGGAAAATTCATAGCATAAAATGAAAAAGGGAAGGGTAAAAATCAATCATCACAATCCTTTCTGAAGAAAGCATAAGAAGAAATTAGAAAAACGAGGAAAAATAAGGAATAAAAACCAATACTGCAGAGGAAATCAATGAAAGTAAACTAAACAAAAACAAACAAGAATCAAGAACCAGAGAAAATCTGTGACACCATCATTTGGTTCTTTGAAAAAAAAAAAAAAGGTCAGTAAAATGTATAAGCTTCTAGGAAGATTCTTATAAGACTAAGGAGCAGAAGAAAGGCCCAAATCAACAGTTGTAACAGTTTCTTCTCCTGCCACACGGTCAGCATAGGAACAGTGAGGTCTTTAGGGGATCTGAGTGACAGTCACTTTCATGCAAACTGGACTTGTAATGTGCTAATGCAATGGAAATAAAATTAGAAAAGGAAAACTCGAGTCACACAAACCAGAACTAGATAAGGGAGCACCTCAAAGCAGAATTTCTGGGAAAATTTGAAAGTCAAATGTCATGTCTGGGCTGGAGAGATGGCTCAGGGTTAAGAGCACTGGCGGCTCTTGGAGAGGACGCAGGTTCGATTCCCAGCACCCACATGACTGCTAACAACCATCCATAACTCCGGTTCCAGGGAACCCAATGCCCTCTTTTGACCTCCACAAGTATTGCACGACACAGGTACACTTACATACATGCAGGAAATACACTCATACACATAAAATAAAAATAACAAATAAAATATTGTTTTTTAAAACATCATGCCCTGGGACTGAAGAGGTGTCTCAGTGGTTAAGAACACTGACTGTTCTTGCAGAAGACCTGGGTTCAAATCCCAGCACCCACATGGCAGCTCCAGTCCCAGGGGATCCGACAGCTCCTTCTGTCCTCCACAGGCATTGCACGACATGGGTGCACCTACCTGCACGCAGGCAATACATATGCATAAAAATAATAAGTAAAATGTTTTTAATGTCATGCCTATGGGCTTCTGGAAGGCCATAATGTATAAGGGACAGCTCACTGAATAGAGATAATGGCACTAAACCTGACGCTCTGAAGAAAGGAGATATATTGGGTGGGAATCACTCCAGAGCGTTACCTGATGGCTAACACTCAGCATGACAGGAGACACACTGATGGACTTTCTGATCCCTTAGTATTATGTAGAGCCCTGCTTTGAATGACGCACTCAAGTGAACATTAATTCCTGGCAATTAGAGACTTGGTAGTGACACTGGGCTGCAAAGCACAAATAGGGAGAGAGAAAAATGAAGGTGAAAATGATTTAGCTTGTGCAGGGGTGGACAATGACCCCTCCACAGACATCACACAGAGTACATTTATCAGTGCAAAGCTCTGCTAAGGGTGGATGTCCTGCTGGGGCACAAGATGTAACCTGAGTGTAGACATAGGGTTGGAGTGGAAAAAGTAAGTTGAGCTTACGTTTTTATATAAAATGAGAGCCTTTGGGTGGACTTTGTTCACCTACCCCGGATAATGTCGGTAGACACTTATGACTAAGAAACAGGAAGTCGCCACTAGGCCAGCCTGGAGCTAGATACAGGCAGGTAACAAAGACAGCAGAAGTTTACAAAGAAAAGCAGACCTTGTCCTCCATTTACTCCGGGCCCCTCCATGTAGCATAAGCTGACCCCACCCAGCCAGCTCAATGGCTTTGTAGAAGTTCCCTAACTTGAAGAAGACTAAGGGGTCATGGATGATGATATGTATAATAATTACCTCTCTCATCACTATGATCAAATCTCTAAGCACAGCAACAATGGGAAATAAGAGTTAAACTCGGTTTCCATTGCAAGGGGACACAGCTCCTCACAGCAGGAAAGGTGAGGACTCTGTCCCACCACTTCCACTGCAGAGAAACAGAGAGAAAAGGGTAAAGCGAACACTTTTTCTCTTCTTTAACTCAGTCTGGTACACACCCGCCCCCCAGAGATGTGTTGCTTGTGTGATTGTTGAACCTGTTAGCAATGAACTCAGAATCACCAGTCTAATACTTGTCAGCTTGACACACATAATGCAGCTCTTAGGCCATAAATTTTCACCATTTGTCCACATTGAGTCATGGCCATCTTACAAGGGAAAATTCATTCAAGCCCCCTCCAAGAGTCTCCAGAGAATCCAACAGTGCCTGTATTGTTCAGAGCGCCAAGGCTCTTCTTAGAATCAAGATCTCTTAACTAGGAAAACTCATATAGTGGAAAGAAAGAAACAAAGCTGTAATACACAATGGCACAGGGAAGACAAACCCATAGTGAAAAGGAGGGAGGAACAGGATCATAGACAGGATGATCCCACCACAGCAAGACTGAACCCCAGCAGGGCAAGCACCCAAGTCTGAAGCTCCCTGTAGGCATGTGAGCATCTGAGGACTTGGGTGGCCCCATTCCTCCAGCCGTGATTGCCTACAGCACAAATAACCTATCTCTTTGTTTCAGTGGACATCCAATGATCCATGTAGCTCCAACATCCTGGGATGTCCGCTGAAACACTGGCTTCACATCAGCTTCATAAGATCTCCCTTCAGTATCTCATGACAGGAACTTTGGTCCCTCCACAGTCTGCTCATCTTCAGAAAATATCTGGACTCTCAGGCAAGTCTCAATGACCCCTTTAATCTTACATGTTGAATTCTAAATCTTACTTGTATTTGTTTGGAGCAGGCAACAGCTTGCCAGCAGAGACCCTGCTTGCCACCTCTAAAGGACTGTGGTGCATCACAAGAATGCTCAACTCTTTAACACTTTGGAAAACCAGAGAGAACAATAATTACAACAGGTAAGACAGGAAGCAGCTGAAACACGGCTGTGTGTACGTGCATCTGTGCCTGGCTCTTCTTCAAACCCTTGCTTGGTCGCCCTACTCCACTAGCATCCCAGCCACTCTGTTTCCTCTTACAGTGGTTTTTAAACACACCAAGAAAAATGTGTGCTGTTATCCATAAGAGACCTAACATCAAAAAAATTATCAGAAGCTGAATTTTACTTTGTTCAAGGACCCTGTTTCAAATCTCTCTCTCTCTCTCTCTCTCTCTCTCTCTCTCTCTCTCTCTCCTCTCTCTCTCTCTCTCCCTCTCTCTCTCTCTCTCTCTCTCTCTCTCTCTCTCTCTTTCTCCTCTCTCTCTCTCTCTCTCCAATAAACTGCTGCCAGTTTTATATATTGGTGCCAGTTTCTATTCTAGGCCTGCAATGACACAACCAAAGACATAAGGTTATCGAACATTCCCAAGGCAAGACTGATTTAAGACTGATTAGCTTCCTATGAGTTACTGGCGAAAAAGACCTTTGTCAACATCAAAACTGTACTAACCATTATCACTATAGTGATACATGCCAGAAATAATAGCAGGAACTTGCTAGAGGAGACACCACGCGCTTATGTTGCATGATAGGGAGAAATCGGGCTAAGGCAGAGCTGGAAAATCCCATGGTGGTGAGAGTCCTTCAAAATGCCAGATGTGGGGGTTGGGGATTTAGCTCAGTGGTAGAGTGCTTGCCTAGCAAGCGGAAGGCCCTGGGTTCGGTCCTCAGCTCCGAAAAATAAAAAAGACAAAATAACAAAAAAGACCAAAAACAAAAAACAAAAACCAAGGCAATGAAATGCCAGATGTAGCATTATGCTGGCTGCTTGTGTGAGGAGTGACCATGAACACTGCTCTGCCGATGGTCAATGTCATACACAAAGACAAGCAAGATGTAAGCAAAGGTTCAATAGTGGTACAGCTACTACAGAGACAGCCAACTACCTCCTGATTGACTTTGAGCCCAGAGTGGACCAATGTTTGGTACTCAAGCCTGGTTGAAAAATCTATAGCTAGGGCTGACCTGCGCTTCAACAGAGAGGTGTTTGTGTTTGTTTAATTAAAAAATGTGAGGTGTCTGCCAAATTCCCTTCTAAACATCTGTTTTTCTACATATACATTACTATAAACTATTTACAGTATGCTTTGAATGCAAGCAAAGTCTCTTAAAGAATAAACCACTTAGAATAAATGGCTATCTCCGTTGCCTGGTGGGTCAATGCTCAGAAAACAATGAATAGAGATATCACCACATACGGATAGGGAACTTTGCAGAACAGAAGAGAAAAATATGTCAGAGCCTAAAGAAAAGGGTGAAGTGTTGGTAAGAACTATTTTCCTCTGGGTATGACATGTCCATCAGCCTGCATAGACAGAGATGGTTGTCATGAATTACAGCATAACTTAGACCCTAGTCATTGCCCTAGAGTAAGCCAAATAATACAGAAATAACTAGGCTTAAGACTTCCTGGTTTGGGAGAGTCATAGGACCCTCACCTGGAATTCCAGTCTTACTTCCTTCTGCCCCCTAGCAGCACATGCCCTGGGAGATGGTGTGCTGCACTATATAAGAGGTGAGGACTCAACAGAAGGAAAGCCTCCTCCACTGAGCAGCTTTCTGGACCCGGCGTCCAAGCTTGGTGAGACTTTTTAGAGATGCTGCTGTCTCTGAGTCAACCATGCGGTAAGTACCCCTCTTCATCCATGTTCCTCTAGGTCAGCTTAAACAGTGCATTATTTTACCAAGTCGGATTTTAAAAGACCATTGTATGTGTGCTATCAGCTCTCTATCTGTGGTGAATGATCATTGGTTCATGCTTCGTCCATAGAAGTATAGCAGTGAATAGCCGAGCCAAACTTCTCCCTGTTCTACGGCACATCGGCAGCAAGTAGTCTCATATCAATGGCTCTCAAAGGGAACCATTGATTCTCCTGGAGACATTCGGCAATGTCCAGAGACACTTGGTGTCATACTAACGGAGTTGAGTTAGAAAGTGGGAATATTACTGCTTTCTAGTGGCTAAAAACCATGAGTGTGTCTACACAACCCCAATGCCCAGTAGAGCTCTAGAATAAGGTATAATCTTTCTTAAATGTGAAAGTTGCCTCAGCTATGACATTTGGCTAGAATGAGAGGAGGAAAGAATCTATGAGTCACATCTCTAGATGTGCAGATGGAAGAGTCAGGACGTTCCAGTTCCGGAGTCTTCTGTTGCTTGAGGTGAATAAAGGCATTCAAGTTTTAACTCTAGAGAGGAAAGTAGATAAAGGCAAGTACATGCAGGTCTTAAACTGTTCTCACACTTTCTTTGAAGGAAAACAGAGTTTTTAATTAAAGCACATTACTGGTAGTGTTTTCATTTTTCTTAACATTTCCAAGAACAATGAATTAGTAACAACCATTCACTTGATTTTGTGAAATAGAAAATCTAAATCCTTCGTCTGCTTGAACTCATTTTACCTTGTCAATATCCTGACTGGATCTCTTTCAGGACTTGTGCGTGCTATCACAACAGCTATGAGTTCACATGTGTTCATGCCCTGGAAGATGCTTTTCCCTTTGTAGTCATCCACTGCTTCTGGCTCTTATCTTTCTGTCCCCTCTTCCACAATGATCCATGAGCTTTTGGAGAAGGGACGTGCTACAGCTCGCCCATTTAGGACTGAGCCTTCTGCAGTCTCTTACTCTTTGTACCTTGAGCATTTTTAGGTCTCTGTGCTAGCCAACATCTACGCAGAAGGAAGTTCCGCTAATGAGGGTTGAAAGATGCGCAAATCCCGGTGTGGAAAGGGGAGGCAGGCAGGAAATTCCACCCCTACCTGACAGAGGAGCTATTGGCGAAGGATCCCTGCCGGGAACCTTTCTTTAAGGTGTAGCTCCAGGTAGGTCACCCAAGCGCCAGGGGATGGTCACACACCCCAAAATATATAAACAGCACAACTTGAACACCACGGATTTTTTAAAAGATAAAAATAAGTTGGGTGAGTGAGGAAGTGCATTGAATTGGGGAGAGGCAAGAAATATGATCAAAGTATATTGTATGACATTCTCAAAGGATTAATTTAAAGATAAAAATATGTTGTGACTATCCTTCAGATACTGAATAGAAAGAATGTATACATATGCACATACTATATATAGATATCAGGAATGAAATTAATTTAGAAAATCCTCAAGATTCTATAAAATATGAACAGTAATATAGATTATCTGAAAATATCATGTTTTGCAGGTAAAAGATTGATGCTGTCCTGTGTGCTAGACAGTTTCGGAGTATGTTTAGTCTTTTTAAGTGTTAATGTTCACTTTTCCATGCAAGGTCCATAGATCTTTTGTTGTTGTTGTTGTTGTTACTGTTTCTCCATACTAGTGTCACCAATATTAAACAGCCTTTTTGATTTGATATATACATGATAGTTCGTTCTCTTTAGAGTATAAAGTAGTGCTATGTTAGAGGTCCCTAATCAACCCATCATTGATCATTGACAACAATTTCAAAAGCATGTGGTATACAGAGCTTGAAAAGCAGAAAATGAAATTCCCAGGACCAGTGCCAGCAAGTCATCAAGGACAACATGTGGTTCTTTACGTGTAATGGCCTTTGGCTGCACAGTCTCTGGACTATAGACGTGCCCCTGACACACAGATATATAAGAGTGTGTTGATGGGACAGGTGAGATGGATCATCCACAGCACTGTCATTCTAATACCTCAAACTACGCACAAATTAAATGTAAAACCCTAAAATGTCTGAAGAGAATGACTTACACCCAGGCTGAAAATTAAATTAAGCTCCAAATATTTGCAAAATACAGAACCACTTCCAAGAACAATGCAAAAATACAGGAAACTGCACAGTTTTCAAAGTGGAAATCTGTGGGAGAAAAATTACTCACCTAGTGGTTGAAGAGATGGCTCAGCAGTTAAGAGCACTTGCTGCTCTTGCCGAGGATTGGAGTTTGGATACTAGAACCCACATCTGGCTGTTGACAAGTACATCTAACTCCAGCTCTGGGGAATCTAACTCCTTCTTCTGACATCCTTAGGCACCCACATGCATGTGCATTAACCCACACACAGATATGAACACACACACGTAAATTTTTTGACTCTTAAAACCGTACCAAGATTGTGCAATGGACATCACTGGGGACAGGTTAAACTCCCTTGGAGAGGATGATTCTTTATGAACGCAGAAGAACAGGCCCCAGGGTCTTCTTGTTTTCAGCAGGGACACTGCTGCTGTTGCTGGTGACGAACGTGCTGCTGGGGAAGAACACGGCCTCTGACCCGGTGTGCTACATGTGGAGCAACCGCTGCCACTTGTCTTTCTCAGACCACTTCAGTCAGGCGGTCACTGTGTCTCAGGAAATCAGGGACCAAGTCACAGACACATTCACTGAATTTGTAAGTAAACCGTTGACTTCCTGTTTCTTTCCAAAAGGGACCTCGAGGCCCATGGTTTAGGTGTATTATAGATTAAAGGAGAAAGCATCATGGATCAGCCTTCAAATAATGTGTCTTCACGGGGAGAAGGAAGACAGGAACGACTAAAAGGAGGGACAAAAGAACTGAACAGCTTTAAAATGCATTTGCCACTAATACTGTGATTTTTCTTTGCTCAGTTTTTTAACATTCATTTTGATTTTCTCCTGTGACGTAATGAGCTGAAATCTGTCTAGTAAAGAGTTTGATACTCTGTTCTTTCCTGAATGAACCAGTCTTTCTTTGAATCTTCGTTTAAGACACTAGGCATCAGAGAAGAGTTGTACATTGCAGAAATTTTAGAGACGGAAGCCGAGTCAGGATGAACAACCTAATATTGTCACTTACAGAATTCACCAAGTGCTAGAAAGAATTTTTGAAAAATTCCAAGATGTGTGCCTATAATTAGAATAAATAATCAGTCCACTGGAAGGCCTTCCCTTCATGATGATGGCACTTTGCAAGCTGTGTGTAAAAGAGACAATAGCTAAGGACTTCACCAGGGGGCACTGACGTGTAGCGCCCAGTTTGTAGTGTATTCTTGGCCTACACATTACTCACCGAGTTCTCTTCTTTGCTATTTTGCTTTGTGAGACAGGCCCTTCCTGGAACCCCAGCTGGACTGGAACTTGCTATGCAGCCCAGACTGGCCTCAGTCTCAGAGATCTACCTGCTTCTGCCACCCAAGTGCTGGGATTAAAAGCATGTACCACCACACCCAGCCACCCCTGGTTTTTCTACCATTGCCCAACCAGTTGGACCTACCTTCATATTTGACATCATCCTACCAATTTTTTCAAACTATCATAGCTTCCACAATAATAATTTTAAGTAGTAAATGTGTCAGATAATAAATATATCCATTAAATATATGGAAGTAGATATAATAAATAATACCACATTGATTAACACATAAATTAATTGCCTAATTGCTTAATATTTCTTACTGTATTTTATCCTGTTTGTTATTGCTTGTTTTGTCACAATCAATACACTTACATTCTGAATTTACAATGAAATTGATAAGGGACCAATTGTATAGATGCAGCGGTGTTTGGCAGAATATTTATAGTGTTATGACATAATGATGCTTCATTAGGAAATATGTAAGTACAGACCAACCAACAAAAAGAAGATGAATTAATATGGATACAAAACAGTACGGCACAAATACTGGTTTAAAACGATGGCACTCGCGACACTTAGTGCTTTGCAATTTGCTGATCTAATGCCTGCTTGTCAACTAAAATCTTTTTGAAAGGCTGGGGATAATAAAGAGAGGAAGAGGTTGGGATATTAGAAAGACAGAAAACAAAAATGTGGAATACAGATCCAATTCATGAAACATAAGTAAAAAGATCTCTTTCATAAGTCTTTAATTTCATTTTTACTCAGTACTTATCAGATAAAAACCTGGCATAAAACTGGGGAAATAGTTCTTAACCAAGGAAATATCAGCAAATGATTACTGTGGGGTGAGGGAGAGTAGATCTTCTTTAAGGGAGAAACTCTCGGTAGGCTGACTAGACCCCTGTGCACCAAGGATCACCTGGATAGAAATGCTTGACAGATAGGGCTTAACATAGATGACAGAATACCTGAAATTGGGTGGGGGGAGCTATAGGGGTCAAAAAGGGGGGAGGGTCTAAATTTGATTAAGATGTATTATATGAAATGCACAAAACTCAATAAAAATCAGGGAAATTTTTTTAGTTAAAAGTATGTGTCAAATACATTAATATACTGGACCCTGGAGAACTGGCTCAGCAGTTGAGAGAATCTGCAGACCGGCAGTGGGCTGGAGATTGGATCCCAGCACCCACACTGGGCAACCCACAACTGCCTTCAGCTCCACCTCCAGGGGCTCCAACATGGTCTTTTTGTCTTCTCAGGAAACCCCATTCGTGTGGCATACACACACTGACACACACAGGTGCACAGAAAATAAAACTGCACATATTAACATTCCAGTCAATGATATATTACATTATATCAAAACGACAATTCATTGACTATTCCGTCATTTCAGGATAAACAATACACCCAGGACCTGGAGTTCAATGACAGGGTTCCCACCTGCCACACATCTTCTCTCGCTGTTCCAGAAAAGGAGGAAGAAGCACAGCAGATGAAGGTGAGTTCTCAGCCTTTGTTTCTTTTCAACCAAATCTAAAGCAGCACACTGGCTTTGCTGTGCTCTTGGTCATCACAGGCCACATATTCATTATAGGTGTGTAATAGGCAGTTACACATTCATACATTTGGAAGAGGAGTAAGAGACCAAAACACATTCCATGACATAATTGCTTAATCATAAGCAAAGTCAAATGATAAGTAATATTGTAGTGAATCTATAACTGCTCTGTACAGAGGACCTGTTCACAAATGCCCCTCTGAGGAAAAGGCTGAACGGATTTTGACATTCAAGGTTAAACATACAGTAATGTGTATGTATTTGACATGCTAATATAGTGGCCTTTATCATATATTACTATTTTACTATATAGTAATATTACTATATAGTAATTACTATTTTACTATATAGTAATATTACTATATTACTACTTTATCATATATTACTAATGAGTCCTGTGAAGAGAGTATTTTACATTATTGACCACTAAACCATCCTATATAACGTGATATGACCCTCCAGAGAGCAAAGCTGTGGCCTCCATTGACGATGAGTCTCCATCTCATGCCAGACCTGATAAGTGCTCTTCTCCCTCATCCTGCCCCTGCCCCGAATCTTCTCAAGCTGTCTCAGCATCATCACGAGTCCTTACGCATCCACACAATCTACCTCCTCATTGGTTTGCGCACGACACCAGCTTTGTGCTGTCTGCCATTCTCGTTTATAATAATTGGTACAAGGGAAGTGAACAGCAATAAAATACAAACAGGAACTGCAGGAAGAGTTACCATTTTGCTAGAAACTTCATAAAGCACTCTACCTACACTTCTGAATTTAATCTTCACCAATATTCTCTATCATGTGGCCTAGAGCTGCATTTTTTTTTCACTTTCTACAACTTGCATTCTCTATAAATGAATGCTTTGAATGTACATTAGTGTAACAAAGGGAAGCTGAATATATTCTTTGAAGAAAAACTGCTTGTATCTAAACTTGTTGTATTTTACCTATTTTAATGTGGTTGCTTAGCCTGTCATCCTGCTGAAACTGACACACACTCTACTGGGCGCCTGGACCAATCCTCTGCAGCATCTTGTGGAAGAAATGGGTAGTCTGCAAGGAGCCCCTGCTGCTCTGCTTTCTAATGCCACAGAAATTGAAGAAAACCACAAAGGACTCCTGGAGGGTGTGAGGAAGTTAATCAGAAGGGTAAGCCCTTCCCATCACTTCTGTGCTTCTCACGCATGAAGGAGGTGACCTGGGTAATGAGAAAGGAATGTTTAAATACTCCACTTTGTAAGAAAAGATTTGACCATCCAGTTGTGACAACAGCCTCACTGCTAAGGCATGGCCATCAACTCCCATCCCTAAATTCTTTACTCAGAACCTCACATCCCAGGATCTCAGGACAAAGCAGCTGTCTTTCACACTGTTTTGGACAGTACCTTTCTGGAGCAGAAAGTCAGATTCCTAAGAAATTCAGCTATCACAGCCAATGCCTTTCTGTTCCATCTTAAACCAGCAAGTCCAATCACCTAAGGTATCGGGTACACACTTACGTGCAGAAGGGATCTGATAGAAAGCATGAAAGGGTGATGCTGTAATGCCAGAATTTATAAATACAGGGACAGTACTGAGGACACGTAAAGCACCTTAAGTGACAGACCAGACAACAGTTCCTCCGTGATCATCAGCCAAATCCATGACCATGGTTCTCTGTCTTCTGTGCTTGCGTTCTTTGTCCGGGATCAGTTACATACCCAAATACATATACATGTATCTAATGTCTAGTTTTACATGTTTAACACTTTACAGGTACCCTGGTCAAGATTCATGAAAATGCATACGTTTAGAGATTTTATAATCATAACTTTTCTTAAATCTGAAATAGACATTTAGAATGAATAAAGGCAAAGTAATAATGATATATAATTAATAGTTGATTATTATTGGTTGATTTGATTCAGGTTGAAGATAAAGAAAACAAGAACTACCCTGCCTGGTCTGGACTGGAATCCTTGCAATCAGACAATGAAGACACTCGCCTTTTTGCCTTTTATAACTTGTTCCGATGCCTGATCAAGGACTCAGAAACAGCTACCACTCATCTGAAGCACTTGAGGTGCCAAATGGACCCGTACAGTGAGTGCTAAGTGAACCACATTCACTCCTACTCTTAGATGCTCTTTGATGATGCCATGTGAAGGATCTTCTTTTAAACTTTCACATTGTGAACGCATGATCCACCGTAGTTTGTCTCTTCTTTAAAAATAAAACCTGATGCTCTAAGTATGTATTTTATTTTATTCATTATTGTGTGTTGTGATATGTGCTGCAAGGCAGCACATGTGGGCCACAGGGCACATGTACCACAGGCCACATGTAGAGGTCAGAGGACAACTACATACTCGCTTCTCTCCTTCTATGGGTTAGGGGGATCATTCAGACACTCTAATTTGCACAGAAAATTAGATCCAGTAAGCCATGCCATTGACCCTAAAATGACTCTTCAAGATGTTAAAGTCTCAAGAAACAACTAGTCAAAATTTCTTGTGTTCATTTTATACAAAATCTATCAATACCATTGACATGTTCCTTTCAGAAATATCACAAATAACCAATGTTAAACTCTTAAATAAGATATTCTATAATGTACTTTAGAATCTCAGAATGTTAATGTGAGTCAAGTGTTTAGAATCAGAGTGACATTATTGTAAATTGGTTCATCCATGTCCCCCCAAATATGGAAATATCAAATATATTATAAAATCCAGCCACTTTGATAAGCTAACATTTTAGTGTCATCACAGACAATGGAAATGCAATACAACTGTACTATCCCCAAATTCCATGAAATTTTGAAAAGTCTATCAAGTGGTAGGATACACCCAGGAAATGTCTAGGCTTCCCTGCAGCTGTCTTGAGGCAAACTCTACTGAATGCTTGTCTTCTTGGCATCATTGTAAACACATTCCTGATGTTCCATCCAGTCTGGATTCACAGTGCTGCTCTGGACTAACTTCAACTACATTTCATGTCCTAATGATTTAATATCTACACTGTCTCTTCATCCTCCGGGGGTTGAAGTCCAGGAAGGAGGAAATGAGAAGTCCCTATGAGGTTTCTTCCTCTTTCTTCTTCTAGAGTTCTATTCCTTGGCTGTTCAAATTAGAGGATTAAGAATACAGCTAAAGTTCTGACTTGACTGACTGTGACATGATATCAAAGATTCATTGTAGACTACAACCCAAAGTGAATTCCTCTTAAGTGATGTGTGTCTGTCAGGGGTACTCTAGTGATTTACTAAGATACACAGTGAGTACGCCTCTAAGTCCTTACCAGAAGAATTTCCCCAGTTACATTCCCCTGTTCACTCCACTGCTCTGCCATCAGGGACCTCCTTTACAATCTCTGCTCTTATGTCCTTGATGCAAAGAAAATAGCTCCTCTGTGAGACTGAGGCCAGCCTGGTCTACATAGCGAGTTCCAGGCCAGATGGGATTACAGGGAGATCCTGTCTCAAAATTAAAAAAGCAATGATAAAGAAGTAGCTCAAAGTAGGGTTTCTACCAACAGATACAGAAAAAGTGTGTACATGATGACCACTCCCCTGAAGTAACTCCGGATCACTGCTGACACCTTCCTGTGCTCTAAACCCCGTTTCTCTGTGGTTCATCTAGGTACAGAATAGATCAGAAAGCCAAATTCAGGCATCTGGGATTATCTTTCAGTGGGTAAGTGCACTTACTGTGCAAGCATGAAGATGTGAGTCCAGAGGGACCCTGTCTCAAGGCAATAAAGTAGAGAACTAGAGAGGAAGGTGCCTAGCTTCCTCTTATGACCTCCATATGTACACACAAGGCTAGGTGTACCCATACACGTATGTGCATGCAACACACCACACACACACACACACACACACACACACACACACAAACTAAAATAAAGTCATACTGTCAAATTCATGGGCACACACTGACCTGAAGAATTGCATGCAGTTCTAATGTTCATTGAACCCCAGGAGCAATGTCCTTATCAACAATCAATCATCATAGAGCAAACTAAGCAGAATTTTCCTTATTCAGTTTGGGGAAAGGTGACTGGTTGAAAGTAGCTCAGCTTGTCACCCGCCTCTAAGCATCCAAATGACGGTTCTTTTTAATGTCAAACCTCCTTAAAAGGCATTTGGATGACCAAACTGTCTTTACAGATGTGCCATGGATTTTGCAGAAATTACTAGGCAGTGAGAGACAGCCAAAATAATGCTACCACAGACATGAAACAGATGTGGGTAGGCTAAAGAGAAAGAGAATGTGGAACATATGGAAAACAAAGGAAAGGTAACAAGAAATAAAACAAGTAACAGCTGTGATTGTGTCAAGCAGTAAGCTTGCTGTAGCCTAAATGGACCTTGAGTGTTAGACACTAACTGGAATGATACCCAGACCTCTTCACGTCACTTCCCTCTTTTCTTTCCTCATTTGAAATTTTTTCTTGCCTTCGAAGTATCTCTTGCCTTCATCCATATACTTTCTGTATGTCCAGAAATAGATGGAACCTAGATATTCTGCAGGTCTGAATTAAAAAAAATATTCTACCACTTAAAAATACTTTCCCATACCTATAAGAAACATTATCCAGCCAAACTGATCTCTTCATAGCCCAGGCTGTTATTATCTGAATCCTGTTCCTGCCTCTGAGTTTGATTATCCAAATCTTTCAGAAACAACTGAATGAAATTCCCCAGGAAATCATTTAATCCCTCAATTACCTCTTGAATGAATGCAAAATGTCAACTTTAATTATTCAGGTTGTGTTTTTACAAAAGGCAGAGTAATACGGTTAAATCTGTTCTTTACATTTAGATATTGGTTGATGAAAGCATCAAATACCATTCCATTTTCATCTAACTTCCTTCCATCAATGTATGCATATTTCCAACACAGAGGATACTGTTAATAAGGAGAGAAATTTGGCAAAAAAAATGAAACTTAATTCTATGAAATATGTTGCTTCCAAACATGAATTTGAAATACCATGTCAATAATTGAGGGGTTAAAGTGAAAAGCCCGTCCATGACTGTGGCATTTAACTGAACTCTGTGGTTCTCAGACAGGATTTCATAGAACCAAACCTGTCAGCAAGGAGTAAGTCGCAAGCAAAAACTACTAGCTGCAGGGATATAAAGGGTGTTTGAGAAGTGTGTTACACACAGCCTGTGGGGGAAAAGAAACTCCCCATACACTAATTTCACCTTTGTGTGTTTCCTGAAGTTTGTGTTGAAAAAGAAATCAGAGCTAAAATAGAGAAAGTTATTTTGGGCGACAAACACCACAGTTGTCTGGTAGAATATCCGTATGCAAATGCCTCGCTTGCTGTGGTACCTGCAATAAACTCTGTTGAAAAACTATCCTAAGCCCTGCCCTAGATGTCAGTCTCTGCAAGCACGCCTGCAGAAGGAATTTCTTTCTGAGGTCTCAGGGCACATAAGCACCTTTGCTGATAGTCATGTAGGCTGTAACTTAAAAAACAATTCTGTGACAGTTAAAGAATAACACGGAGGGGAGGGTATTTATAATAACGGTGAAGGACCCAAACTGTGGGCTCAGGTTCTGGGAGAGGAAACTCCACTGGAGCCCACCAGCGTGAGTAAACTCTCCTGACTTCTCCACCTGAGTCTCTTGGTGCCTCCTCTGTGCCTGGCTGGTCTTCTTCCTCAATTTCCCATAACACACCCATTCCAAAGAAAATACAGCAAATTCCTCCTTCCTTATGGATCCCAAATAAGATTACATTTAAAGAAATGGTTCAGACATCATGAAAATACTATCAGTGATTATTGAAACAGAAACAATGGAATTACAGAAATTGATTGTTCTTAGAGACCGGCAAATCACACATTATTTGTACTACAAATACTAAATGAGAAGTAAGAAGCTTGTCTTCCAGTATTTTCTACTGAATTTGTGAGATGGAATTACATAATATGAAACTGCTTTAGTAACATCATACAATAAGATAAGCTAGACAGAATAAAAAACGTGAATCAAAGGATAGCTGGGAGATGATAGCACATGAGATCACCTAAATTGCATTTAGTGCTAAATAGAACCCCATTGTGTAAATATGCCATGTTTTAATTTTCCATTCAGTTGATGGACATCTAGGCTGATTCTATTTCCTGGCCGTTGCAAATAAAAACAATGAATATGACTGTGTGAGTATCTCTCTTGTGCAGTACAGAGACCTTTAGGTAAATGCCCAGGAGTCGTACAGTCAGGTCAGATGACAGTGATAGCATCAGCTTTCTGAGGAACCTCATGCTGATCTCCACGGTGGCTGCAGAGTTCGCACTTCCACCAATGGTGAATGAACACTACACTCCTCTCACAATCCTTCTGCTGTTCTTTGTCTTCTGATTAAAGTGAGATGAACAGTAAGGCAGTTGGCACTGCTCTTTCTCTGATGCTTTACGATACTGAACATTTAAGAAATGTCTATTAGCTGTTTGTGTTACTTCTGAAAACTCTCCACTCTGATGCACCTTTCACTTTTTTTTGTTTCTTGGATATTCATGATAGCAATAGTTTGTCAGTGATCACTTACTTTTTATTTTTATTTTTTAAATTTTTAATTGAGTTTTTGTGATTTTCATATGATACAGTTTGATGGCGTTTAGAGTCCCTCCCTTTTCTTCATGTCCACCCACTGTCCCTCTCCCAATTTAATGTTATTCTCATACATATCTATATCATGACCTATGGAGTCTGATTTGTGTCCCCAAATGTCCTTCCTTGTGGGTCCATCCACTGAGACTACCAAGAGTCCCATCCCTGTAAGAAACCTTCTCACCATCCCAGCAGTCATCAATTACCAAAAGTTCACAGGTTGGGTTGGGGTTTCTTACCCACTTCATCATGTCTATGCTGGGATTTTGTCTGGTTTAAGTTTGCATAGGACTTGTGTACGCTGTCACCTTTGTTGTGTGTTCACATGAGTAACTCATAAGCTGTCTGGAAGAATCTGTTTTCTTGTGGTCATCTACCCCTCTGGCTCTTACAATCTTCTGGCCTCGCTGTAAACCCTAATAAGCAGCAGTTACCAGCCCAGCAAACTCTCACTATTAGTGTAGCAGTGGCACTTTTACACTGAGGGTGATCTACAGACTTCTAATTGGAATTGAGGCCCACTCAGTGGGATTCTCAATCCTAGAGAAAAGGATTTGCCACGTCC